AACAGAATTAAAGGCAACGCTGCATTCCCCTGGGAAATTCAGTTCAGTGTGCCATTTTCAGGTGGCCTTGGGCTAGTAAAACAGAGCAACCCTCCGCTGTCATAAGTCAAAGCTACATAACCGATACAAGATAAAGAAACTGTTAGCAACATATTCTAACTAATGTCTACAAAACAGTCAATGCCTATGTGTGCAGGTACATGCTTTGGGATGGCAGTACCTTATTTAAGAGAAGAAAAATACACTGCACAAAGGTAATGTATTGACAGGGTCACATTGATTTTTTTAAAAAAAGCCTACATCAATAGTTAAATTTTCCTCTCTACATAAGGTTATGGTGTGTATCTGTGGGACATTCAAAGAGCCACAAGGGAGGCAGTATAACATAATCATTAAAAGCATGAACTTCAGAGCCAGTTCATGCTGGGGTTTAAATACCAGTTTCATCGCCTGCTAGTTGTGAGACCTTGATCAAGTTATTCAAATTCTCCTTCTGTGTTTCCTCATCTGTAAAAATGTGAATAATCATAGCATTTATATAATAGGGTTGTTATGAGGATTAAATGAACTATATTTGCAAAGCACTTAGACAGATATGTATGTGTCTGTTAAATAAAATGCTGTGCAGATTTCAGGAGCCGTGCAAAGAGCTAAATACAATATAACTCTTTACGCCAGCAACAAAAGCTTAAAATGGCTGGTGAGGACACACAGAAAATAAAATGACACATCACTGAACTGGGCATGAGATTTCTAAAGTGTTGATTTCAAAAGATTAAATATATAGTGCTGGACTCTAGACATATTCAATTCAGTTCTTTTATTATATATATATAATGTATATATATAAATTTGTTAGGTTTATTTAAAGAGAGAGAGAAACAGGTGAAGGAGAAAGAAACAGCTAACTCTCACACTGAATCCAGAAAGATGGAATCCAGGAGAGGAAAGCAGCTTCTACACTGAATGGAAGGGAATAGAGAGAGATGGAATTTAGGAGGGGAAGACAGGCTTCCATGAGAGTGTGTGGAAGGGGACTCCAGAGGGGAAATCCAGGAGAGAGAAAAACAGCTTCCACAAAGGGAGTGTTTGTGGAAGGGGACCCAAACATAGAGTCCCCAGTTCTTTTTTTTTTATTTTTATTTTTTTGAGACAGGGTTTCACCATATTGGTCAGGCTGGTCTCAAACTCTGAACCTCAGGTGATCCACCTGCCTCGGCCTCCCAAAGTGCTGGGATTACAGGCGTGAGCCACTGCGACCGGTCCTTCAATTCAGTTCTTAAAAAACTTTTGAGACAGGGTCTCATCTGTTGCCCAGGATGGAGTGCAGTGGTGTGATCATAGCTCACTGCAGCCTCCAACTCCTAAGCTCAAGGAATCTTCCAGCCTCAGCCTCCCAATTACTACAGGTGCATGCCACTACAGCTGGCTAATTTTCAAATGTTTTAGAGAAATGGGGGTTGCCTGTGTTGCCCAGGCTTGTCTTGAACTCCTGGCCTCAAGCAATCCCTCTGCCTTAGCACCCCAAAGTGTTGAGATTACAGATATAAGCCATCATTCCCAGCCCCCTAAATGTATTTAATCTTTCCAAGATTGGCACTAAAATATGCCTAAATGAACTTTACATTCCTGTGTAGTAACAGGGTTCCAGACCAAGCCTGGCCTTTGTGTGACCTTGAGAAACACACTCCACCTTTCTCTGTCCCTGAATTGTCAGTTTAAAACTAAAGGAACTGTAATACCTGTTTGATCTCTAAGGCCCAACTCTGGGTGGCAGCCCCCAAATCTTAAGGAAAATATGAAATAAAGAGAGAAAAGTAATAGACATTTTTATAGAATTTTAAACAAAAAGGTTGCTGGGTAGGACAGAAAGCAAACCTTCCCCCTTTCCTTAAATAGAGGATAAAGTCATTAGAGTTTGCCACACAATTCTGTTTGTACAAAGGAGCAAGTACAGGACTAGGGCCCTGAGTCACTAGCGCCCACAGTGGAGGGACTCTACCAGGAGGACTTGCTCACGTATGAGGGTGCAGCACAGCATATACCCTCCAGAGGACTCTTATTTTTGAAATCCCATTCAAAGCAGGGCTGCAGCAGACATTAAAGGCCCTAGACTGTATGATTCCATCTACCTGAAATGCTCAGAATAGGCAAAATTGTACAAACAGAATGCAGATTAGTGGTTCCCAGGAGCTGGGTAGGAGAAAGAGGGAATGATTGGTAATGGTTTTCCTTTGGCTTGATAAAATTGTTTTGGAATTAGACAGTGCTGATGGTTACACAACTCTGTGAACATACTAGCCACTGACCTGTATACTTTAAAAGTATACAATTTTTAAGTATTTAAGTTGTATCTTAGCAATGGGGGGAGGTTTATCTTTATAATAGAGATTTCTATTATTATCTAGTGGTCTGCCTCCTGTTATCAGTAACAGAGGAAACTAAAGAGAGTAAGGTAATTATGTGAACAGTTCTTGATAAAAGGAAGGCTGGAATTAGATTCTGAATTGCCTACATAGGATGGCCAAAAATTTTGGAAACAAGAAGTCAGAGATTAAAGGCCTTGTTCTCAAAGAGCTCAAAGGGAAATTATGCACACAGAAAGAATAACTGGTAGGAAGGGGAGTATACAATAAGGTGGTACTGGTTGCTCCCCAGTGAGTACTGGCCAAGGCTTCAACTATCTACATGCTTCAGCATCCCACAGACCCTGACCAGGAGCCAGGTGCACCTGAGCTTCACTCGCAAACTTCCAAAGGGAGTGAGTCATAAGAAAAGCTAGGAAGCCCAGTGAGCTTTTCCAAATTTCTTCTTTGCATCCTGCAGTCTCTTGACCCAATACTGACACTACTCCCCTTCCTGTGATGGCCCAAAAAGAGGAAATAGCAAGAGCAAAAGCTGAAAGGTGAGAAAGGAAGGAAATTTCTGGCAATAGTTTGGCAAGATCGCCAACTCCTTCCAGAGGTTACAGCAGCCAAAGTGACCTTAAAACATAAATTGTATCGTGTCATCCCCTATTTAAAGCCCATCTAAGGCAATCAAAAAATGGAAACTCCTACAACCATCTGGAATGAAATGCACACTTCCACCACCGGCCCTGCCTGCTGGCACCTGCACCTCTCTGGTGCCTCCCCCACCACTCTGCTTACACAGAGCTAAGCTGTCTCCTGCCTCAGGGCCTGACACATTCTCCTCCCTCTGCTGGGCCCTGCTCTTGCCTGGCCCCTTCTCATTCCTTAAGTCCTAGTATCTCAGAGGAATAGCTAAAGAGGCTCTTTCCTGTTATTCTCTACCAGAGCTGTTTATTTACTTTAGAGGGCTTACCACACACTCACTACTTTGCCTATTTCTTGCCTGGGTAGACTTCTCATTCAAAAAGGACAGAGGCTGGGCGCAGTGGCTCACGCCTATCATTCCATGACTTTGGGAGGCAGAGGAGAATGAATCACCTGAGGTCGGGAGTTCAAGACCAGCCTGACCAACATGGAAAAACCATGTTGGTCTCTACTAAAAATACAAAATTAGCGGGGCATGGTGGTGCACGCCTGTAATACCAGCTACCCAGGAGGCCGAAGCAGGAGAATCGCTTGAACCTGGGAGGTGGAGGTTGCAGTGAGCCAATATGGCACCATTGCACTCCAGCCTGGGCAACAAGAGCGATACTCTTTCTCAAAAAACAAACAAAAAGGACAGAGAGCAAGTCTACCTTATTTCTTGCCATATCTAAAGTGCTACCACATTGCCCCACATGTGACTGGCATTTAATTTTTGCTAAATAGATTAACCTGTATTTTAAAAAATAACTCTGGCTGGGGAGCATAAGAATTACAAGAGGTATGCAGAATAATTAAAACAAAGGTGACTGCTATGGTTTGAATGTTGTGTTCCCCCAACAACCATATGTTGGGACCTATTACCCAATGTTATTAGTATTAAATAGTGGGGCCTTTAGGAGGCAATTAAGACATGAGGGCTTGGCCAGGATCCCAGTACTTGGTGGATCACTTTAAGTCAGGAGTTCAAGATCAGCCTGGCCAACATGGCAAAACCCTATCTCTACTAAAAATACAATAAGTACCCAGGCGTGGTAGCACATGCCTGTAATCCCAGCTACTAGGGAGGCTGAAGCAGGAGAATTGCTTGAGCTTGGGGGCAGGGGTTGCAGTGAACCAAGATCGCACCAGTGCACTCCAGCCTGTGTGGCAGAGAGATTCTGTTACAAAAAAGAAAAAAAGAAAAAGACATGAGAGCTCTGCCCTCATGAGTGGTATTAGTGTCCTTATAAAAGAGGCTTGAGGGAGCTTGTTGGCCCCTTTGACCATGTGAAGAAGCAGTGAAAAGATACCAACTTTGAAGAAGGAAGCAAGCCCTGACTGACCCAAATCTGCTGGTACCTTGGTCTTGGATTTCCCAGCCTCCAGAACTGTGAGCAATAAATTTCTGTTATTCATAAATTACCCAGTCTAAGGTATTTTGTTATAGCAGCCCAAACAGACTAAGACAGTGATCATAGGTCACACTTTGGATTTTGATGCTGCTAAAGAGCACCATTTTCAAAGACTTTTTTTTTTCTTTCTTTTGGACAGTTATACAATCATATTGGTTAAGCAATGAACAGACTTGATTAGCCTAATGTAACACTGACTGAATGTTTGCTCATGGTGGTCTGTATGCTTTATACTGTGCACACAATCCCATTTTTCCTTGAACCTCCTCCATAAAGCAGAGCCCAGGGTAGGCCTCAGGGGTGGCTACCTTTCAGTAGGTCAACTTTCTGGATATGACTAAGTGTTTTTACCAAACGAACACAGTAACAACTACTTAGGTAATTGCAATTTAATTATTCAAATCAGAGCTAACTTCTAAAACATGTTTCTTCCCTTGTAGTCATAGATTCTAGCCTGACTAGTTACAAACACAAGGTGTAATAATGTGTTATCTGTGTCTTAGCCTCCTAGTTGAAATTTTTTCTTCCTTTATTTTTATCCCTATGGTTGAAGAAAGTAGCAGAGACCAACTGAATGAAGGCAAAACCCACTGATTTTCTTGGAAAGAACTGTAGAGCAAAACGAAATTCATTTGTGGAGAGGAATAATTCCTACCTGAACGAATGGAAAAGTAAAACTGTAGAATCAAAAATAAATAAATACTTGGTAATAAATTCACATCCTAATCACAAAAATTCATTTTTAATTAGCTCAATTATATAAATGAATCACTTATATAACCAAGGAACTATATTATGGAGCATTTTTTTTTAAAATTCTATTTATTTATTTTAATTTTTTTTTTTAGAGGCGGGTTTCACCGCGTTGGTCAGGCTGGTCTCGAACTCCCGACATCAGGTGACACACATCTCAGCCTCCCAAAGTGCTGGGATTACAAGCATGAGCCACCATGCCTGGCCTTGTTATGGAGCATTTTTAAATGTTTGTTTTTGTTTTTATACTAGGGTAAGCATTTCCCAAGTTTGCCTGTAATGCCTGGCTTTTTCAAAATAATAATAAACTTCTTCCTAGTGTCTGAATTAACACCATTATAAATTAAGGAAAACCTAACTGATGGGGTTTTACTCTTTAGGTACATTAATATAGGGTGAAATACTCATTACAATAATTACTAGAAAGAAATGCTCAGCTCCCTGTACCTTCTGAGATCCTCCCACCAGTAAAGGCAGGACGACAGAGTGGTAGCGCTTTCCATTTAGTGTGCCAAAGAGAGAGGACACTGGTCACCAGCACCATCTAATTAAAATACCTTTAGGCTGATTGACAGGAGATAGGGATTAAGTCAAGGTTCCAAAAAGGTGAACACTACCCCCACGCCTTATGCCCACCCCCATTCTTCCCCGCTGAGCTTTCACTTTTTTCAGATGTGCAGTCTAACTCAGCAGCCCCGGGGCGTGGGGGGGAGGAAGGGAAGGGGACGGCTGCAGGGTGTGTCACTTACGAGACGTAGGCTGGGTAGCCAAATCCTATCAGGTTGCAGAGGAGAGAGGCTCCATAACCGAACACAAGGTACAAGGCCACCAGTCCAATGACACCTGGGGACCACAAGGAGAGAAGTGGGTTGGGCGGCAAGAGGCGCTCATGCGGCACAGCCGCCGCCCACACCGCGAGGCTGGGCCTGTTCTAGGCGTTTTCCTCCCGACTCGATTAAAGGAGGGAGAAAAACAAACCACACCAAGGCTGGGCCTGCGCGTCCGCGGGGCCCTGCCTTGAAGTCTGGGGATATCGGGCAGCTACCACCTTTGTGCCTCTCCTACCTCCCGCACGGGGCCCCGGCGCAGCAACCCCGGGCGCCCGGAAAGGTCCGGGGCATCCCCGTCCGCCCTCTCGCAGGGCCCGTGGGGCAGCGCCCCAGCCCTGGAAGCTGCGGCCCGCGGGGAGCGTCCCGAGAGGCCCGGACTCCCGCACCCTCTGCAACAGCAGCCCCCGCCCACCCGAGGGGGCGCCCCTCCCCAGGCGGAGCTTCACCGAGGGTTGGATAGCACCGGGTACCTCCGCCACCTCACCCGCCCGCAGGGCTCCGCCGTCCGCGGCCACTGTGCGGGTCCGCAGGAACAGGGCGCCCGGCCGCGGAGCGGACACGTCAGCGCCGACCTTTCCAGCTGCCAGCGCCCGGCGCCGCCGCTGCCCTCCAGCCCCGCGACCCTCAGTACCGGCCGCCCCGGAGGAGTCTGCGATCCCCGCGCTTTCCGGAAGGTCAGCCTGGTCTCTGAGGATGCTGCTCGTCCCGTCTGTCCCCAACTCCACCTCTCCCGAGTCCTCTCCCCGCTTCCTTCCCAGCAGCTGTGGCAGCGGCGGCTCCCGGGGCCCGGCCAGCGGCGGCGAACCCAGGCCACTCACCAAGCGCGATGAAGCTCCGGTTCACGCCAGTCTTGGCCTCGAGCTTGGCCAGAAGGTCAGTCATGCAGTTCTTCTCGTGCAGGAACCGGTCGAACCTCTCCCTCATGGCCGCAGACATGGCGGTGACCGTCGCGCCGCCCGGGGCTGCTCTTAATGCCGGGTGGACTGGAGCGGGGACTGGAGCGGGGACTGCAGCGGGGCGGCGGCAGGCGGGGACCGCTGCACGTATGCGCGTCCTCCACTCGCCTCTGCTCGCCCCGCCCGGCCTCCGCGAGCCCCTCCTCCCCCGCCCCGCGCCCCGCGGACAGCGCCACACCCGGGCGGGGCGGGCCTCCGCGGGCCCTGCGAGGTGGCCTGGCTGTTGACAGCCTTAACACATTGCGGAGTAAAAAGGGTGTGGTGTAGGGAAGTGTATTTTGTGTCTCTTGAGGACTCCCTTCTCAAATAGGCCTAGTGCAAAAAGCAGGCGGAAAGGAGGCAGGCGTCTTTGTTGCTCCCGCCTGAAATTTAATGAGAAGAGTTTGGCACCTACATTGCTATGCTAAACCTGCTAAGGCAGTTTTGATCTAAAAAATGGAAACGTATGAGCATCCTGAAAAACTCTTTGGGTACAGGCCTGCTTTCTCCCTCTTTGCCTTAACTCGGCAGTTTTTCTCACCTACCATCGTTGCCTTTAAAAGACTCTCGAAGAAATCTAACACATCCCCCCTGGGGCACAGCTTTTCCAAAAAAGCCCTGCGTTAAACATTTTTTTATGGTGGGCTTGCATTGGCCTGTTGTCTGATACCGTGGCAAGTGTCCAAATTATCTCTGTAGAGCCATGTTGCCCAGCCTGGTCTCAAATATGTGAGCTCAAGTAATCTGCCCACCTCGGCCTCCCAAAGTGCTGGGATTACAGGCATGAGCCTTGCACTCAGGCTCAAAATTTGATTGCTTTGTTTATTTATTATTTATTTATTTTAGCAAAGGAGCAAAATCCCTTTAAGTTAGATATTTAAATCAACCTAGGTTTCTGTCTCTACATTTCATGCAGTGGCAATATTTGTACTACATTAACTATGCATGGAGTATCTGGAAACATACTATTCATTTGGATTTCTTCCTTTTTTTCTTTCTTTCTTTTTTTTCCCAGACAGGATCTTGCTCTGTTGTCCAGGATCAAGTGCGATGGTGCCATCATGGCTCACTGGAGCCTTGACTTCTTGGGCTCAAGCAATCCTCCCACGTTGACCCCCAAAATGCTGGGATTATAGATTCCAGCCACTGTGCCCAGCCCTTGGCTTTCTTTCAGTAAATATTGCTCCCTCTTTTTGTGTAAAAATTGCTCTCTTTTCAGTTTTCTCCTGACATAGATTTCAAATTTCTTCTTTTCTTAAGCATTCAACCAGTGGTGAGGCAAAGCAGTATAGTTAGGCATAGTGTCTGGAGTTCTATATCTGGATTCACTCTATATGAGTTAAATCCCAGCTCTATTATTTAGCTGTGTGACTTTGGGCAAGGTACATAAGCTCTCTGTGCTTCTGGCATATCATCTGTAAAACAGGGATAAAAATAGTACCTATTTCACAGAGTTTTCATGATGATTAGGTGAGTTACTATTTGTAATGCTTTTAGAAGGGTACTCAATGCAAAGTGTTTAAATAATTTAAGAAAGAAAAAAAGCACAGCTAACTGTAAATCTTTTTGTTGTTGTTGTTTTGTTTTGAGACAGGGTCTGGCTCTGTCACCCAGACTGGAGTGCAGTGGTACAATCTCAGCTTACTGTAACCTTTGCCTCCTGGGCTCAAGCCATCCTCCTACCTCAGCCTCCCAAGTAGCGGGGACTACAGGCACACGCCTCCAAGTCTGGCTAATTTTTGTGTTTTTTGTAGAGATGGGGTTTCACCATGTTGTCCAGTCTGATCTTGAACTCCTGAGCTCAAGTAATCCTCCCACCTCAGCCTCCCAAAGTGCTGGGATTGCAGATGTGAGCCACAATGCCCAGCCTCTAAAATTGAGATAGGGAAATATCACATTATTTTTGCCTTTAGGAAATTACAATCAGATTCGGGGAGTATGGGATCCTAGTTTATTCCATCGACACTATATACCTTAGACTCTTTCATAGAAGAGGAAAGAGATGCAGAAGATAAAAACCCTACCAAAAGTCTCAGACTGTTCACTTACTCATATTTACTAAATATATCCTGTGTGCCAGCTGCTGTTAGACCTGGGAACCAGATAGACAAGATCTGTTTTGGTGGCCATGAAGACGGATGGCCTGGAACCAGTTTACTTTGGCAATCTCTTTCTTTTTTGGGGGGGTGGGGGATGGAGTTTTGCTCTTGTTGCCCAGGCTGGAGTGCAATGGCCCGATCTCGGCTCACTGCAACCTCTGCCTCCCAGGTGTAAGCGGTTGTTCTGCCTCACCCTCCTGAGTAGCTGGGATTATAGGCACACACCACCATGCTTGGCTGTTTTTTGTATTTTTAGTAGAGAGGAATTTCACCATGTTGGCCAAGATGGTTTTGAACTCTTGACCTCAGGTGATTCTCCTGCCTTGGCCTTTCAAAGTGCTGGGATTACAGGTGCGAACGACTGCACCTGGCCAACTTTGGCAATTTCTTTCTTTTTTCTTTTTTTGAGACAGAGTTTCGCTCTTGTTGCCCAGGCTGGAGTGCAATGACACGATCTCAACTCACTACAACCTCCACCTCCCAGGTTCAGGCAGTTCTCCTGCCTCAATCTCCTAAGTAGCTGGGATTACAGGCACGCGCCACCATGCCCAGCTAATTTTGTATTTTTAGTAGAGATGAGGTTTCTCCATGTTGTTCAGGCTCATAGCCTACAGGGTGGCATGAAGTTTTGCTTTTCTTTTTATGTAAGAGAAGGACCAGAAGGAGTCAGACAAGTTTGCCCACTTCCTTTCACAATGAGACGTCAGGGAAATACAGTCAACATGAACAAAGAAACTGACCAGGCCAGGTGCTGTGGCTCATGCCTGTAATCCCAGTACTTTGGGAAGCCAAGGCAGGAGGATCTCTTAAGCACAGGAGATTGAGATCTCATCTCTGTAAGAAAAACATTAAAAAATTGGCCAGGTATGATGGCATGCTCCTGCAGTTTCAGCTACTGAGGGGACTAAGGCAGGAGGATGGCTTGAGCCAGGGAGGTTCAGACTGCAGTGAGCTATGATCACACTAGAGTGAGACTCTGTCTCTTAAAAAAAAAAAAAAAGAAAGAAAGAAAAAGAAACTGAGCAGTTGTATTAAATTTATATTGCTACTGTAACAAATTATCCCAAACTTCATGGCTTAAAACAATACAAATTTTATTCTGTTACACTGTTCTGTGTCAGGCTCACTGGGTTAAAATCAAGGTGCTATCTGCAGGGCTTTGTTCCTTTTTGGAGGCTTAGAGAAAGGTCCGTGCTTTTTTTTGCTCACTGGGTTGTGGCAGAATTCAGTTTCTTGTGGTCATAGGACTCAAGTCCCCATTTCCTTCCTCATCTTCAAAGCCACTGCCAGCAGCAGTCAAATCTCTCTCATACGTCAAATGTCCCTTCCTTTTTCTTTCAACTAATCTCTCTGACCCATCTGCCTTCTCCTCCTACCTTTGAGAACTCATGTGATTAGATTGGGCCCACCCAGGTAATCCAGGATAATCTCCCCCATCTTAAAGTCTATATAACTTTAATCCCATCTGCAAAGTCCCTTCTGCCACGCAAAGTCCCATCTTCACAGGCTTGGGTATTAGGGTATGGACATCTTTGGGTGGGGATGGAAGTCATTATTCTGCCTACTACACTAGCCTTACATGCAGGACCCATAACCAGCATCAAGGTCCCTGGAAAGAATGAACATGTTGAGATCAGACAGCTGGTGTAAATCCTTTCACTCACTTCAAGCACCATCCCAGGACATGGCACAGGGTCAAAGCACAGGCCCTGGAGCAGATACCCTGGCTCCCTTACTTACTTGCTGTGCACTCTTGGGAAAGTTCTCAACCTCCAAATGCCCCACTGTTCTCAGCCCATAAAACAAAGATAATGCTAGTGTCTACTTCATATGGTTGTTGGAATAAATGAGACACCCCACGTAAAGCACTTCCAGAGTGCCTATCTGAAGGATACATACATCAATTAGGCGGACATTAACAAGAGTTTATGCCCAAAATTATACCATCTTTTCCTATTCCTTTGATTCAAGGATTTGGTATATGTGAAAATCAAAATGCTCTCGCAAAAATAAGAGCACATTTTCATCAATAATTGGACTATGGGAAAGAAGGAGGAAAAGAAAATGTATACTGAGCACCTATTTTGTGTTAGATAATTTGTATGTATGAAGGAGCTGACAGCATATTTTCATGGAGTCAGGGGTCACTAATCCTCAGACTACTTGAGGATTAAAAGAGTAGTCTTTTCCAAGGTACAAAGTAGGGAAACAAAACTGCTTATTTTTCAGTTTTGTCTGTGATCCTTGACTAACCCTTGGCCAAGTGAAAGGCACCCTCCGGATCTACACAGATGTGGGCAACTGACCTACAAACACACATCAGGTCAAAGTCAAGCTGTTCTCTGACATGCAGCCGGCTGATTTATGCAGCTCTTTATCACTTAGCAGTCTCTTAATGCTTCCTGTCTCTCCCCAGTCTCTGACCTTCAGCCTTTTTGGGATGAGTTTTGGCCCATGTTCCTCTAGCTCTTGGACCTCAATCATACTGTGACCACACTGGATGACTCAAGGATGTGCCTCTTCCTTTCACGACATAAATAACTTTTGTTTTATGATGAGCTCTGCCATGCAGTTAGGAGAGAATTACTTGACCACATAGGCTTTTGCTTTTCACCCAGGATAATCTCTCTAAAATCCATGCAAATGGAGATTTATAATTAGTTAGTGTTTGGGGATTTGGAATAAGGTTTGGGAGGACACACTTGTTTTTGTTTTTCTCACACCATTGTTCTTAACACCTCTTTATCTATTCACAGCCATAACAAAAACACCCTACTAAAAGTGAGAATTCATTAGTCTAAAAAAATTACAATATATACTGTCTCCAAACAGCACCAACTATTGTATGCATCATCTTAACCAGCTTTATAGAATTTACTCAAAGTCATTGCTTCTCTGCCTCTTGGCTAAGATCAAGGGTAGAATTTACTGAAAGTCACACTTTTCTTTTTGTTATTATTGTTGGTTTTTTTTGTTTTTCTTTTTTTTTTTGTTCATTTTATACTTTTGATGGTCATTTTTTTTTTTTTTTTTTGACATGGAGTCTCGCTCTGTCGCCCAGGCTGTACTGCAATGGCATGACCACGGCTCACTGCAAACTCCATGTCCTGGGTTTGAGTGATTCTCCTACCTCAGCCTTCTGTGTAGCTGGGATTACAAGCACATGCCACCAAGTGTGGCTAATTTTTGTAATTTTATTTTATTTTTTTGAGACAGAGTCTTGCTCTGTCACCCAGGCTGGAGTGTAGTGGCATGACCTTGGCTCACTGCAACCTCTGTCTCCCAGATTTAAGTGGTTCTTCTACCTCAGCCTCCCGAGTAGCTGGGATTATAGGCACACACCACCATGCTCAGCTAATTTTTGTCATTTTATTTTATTTTATTTTTGAGATGGAGTTTCACTCTTATTGCCCAGGCTGGAGTGCAATAGCATGATCTCAGCTCACTGCACCTCTGCCCCCCAGGCAGCTGGCAATTCTCTTGCCTCAGCCTCCTGAATAGCTGGGATTACAGGAATGTGCCACCATGTCTGGCTAATTTTGTATTTTTAGTAAAGATGGGGTTTCTTCATGTTGGTCAGGCTGGTCTCAAACTCCCAACCTCAGGTGATTGTCCCACCCAGCCTCTTAAAGTGCTGGGATTATAGGCATGAGCCACTGCGCCCAGCCTGATGGTCATTCTTAGGCAAATAGTTTGGACTTGGAAACATCATAGTGACAACTGTAACTTCTAATGTTGTACAATAGTAACTGAATTGGCATTTAATACAAGTTCCCAGTCTATATCACATGCGTATTTGGTATGTTTATAAACCAAGACAGTGGCATATGAAGTGGATTAAAGGAAGAGTCTCCATTTCTGGATTCTTTGGAAATGTGATTGCTTACAACCAGTCTTTAACATGTAGGAAAGCCTTTTTACTTAGATTATTTCATATCAAGTTCACAACTTGCAAAATTAAGTGGAGGATGATAAATTAATATGGAAAACAACATTGGCTTAATTTCAGAGTAAGCTTTTTTAAATAAATCATTTTTATAGTTAACTCAAACCACTTTTCCAACTTATATTTATTCAGAGAAAAAATTTTTAAAAGTTACCTTGGACTAAAGACCAGGGCATCAGTTTATATGGTGTGAGTTCTTTTCATTTGCCTTAGATTGCATCTACACTGACATAAGAAAGTGGAAAGGTAAGCAATTATCTTAGGATTATACTAGTAAAAATTATATCAATAATTACTTGGTATAGACAGCCCAGGCTGTCTTTCAGCATGGGAAAATTGGTCATGGGTAGATTTTTCAAGGTGACTTAGTTTGAGACCAAGAAATAGTCAATGATGTTTTTGTCAAGTGTAAAATAGATTCCAGAATGCATTCCTTCATTCTTGGAGGCCCTTCAATTAGTATTGGACCTAATTATTTAGATAATTTGTTAAAGGATTTACACTTATTTAAAGAAGGCTAATGAGTCACCAGTATTTAATATTCATTCATTCAACAACTATTCATTGAGCACCTACTATCTGCTATGAACTGAAGATATACCAGGAACCAAGATAGATAGGTCCAAGCTTTATGGATCTCACAAATCATAACCACAGCAACATTTGATATCTGTCATTAAGAGTTTGAAACTTCAGTACCTTTTTTTTGTGTTTTGAGATGGAGTCTTGCTCTGTTGCCCAGGCTGGAGTGCAGTGGTGCAATCTCGGCTCACTGCAGCCTCTGCCCCCAGGGTTCCAGTGATTCTCCTCCCTCAGCCTTCTGGGTAACTGGGATTACAGGCACATGCCAAAATGCCCTGCTAATTTTTGTATTTTTAACAGAGATGGGGTTTCACCATGTTGGCCAGGCTGGTCTCAAACTCCTGATCTCAGGTGATCCGCCCACCTCAGCCTCCCAAAGTGCTGAGATTAAAGGTGTGAGCCACTGTGCCCAGCATCAAACTTTAGTATCTTTCTTTTTCTTTTTTTATAATTTTTATTTTTATTTTTTTTTAAGAGACGGGGTCTCACTATGTTGCCCAGGCTGAAATGCAGTGGCTATTCACAGGCGCGATCCCACTACTGATCAGCGCAGGAGTTTTGACCTGCTCCGTTTCTGACCTGGGCTGGTTCACCCCTCCTTAGGCAACCTGGTGGTGTCCTGCTCTCAGGAGGTCACCATATTGATGCCAAACTTAGTACAGACACCCAATCGGGCTCAAGCAATCCTCCCACCTCAGCCTCTGGAGTAGCTGGGACTACAGGCAAGCACCACCGTGCCAGGCAAACTTTAGTATCTTAACCTAATATTTATATTTTTCTTATCATTAAAGAAAAAACTATTATCAATAAATTTGATAATTGATAAACTCAATTTGACTATGTTATCATATATCCTTTGTTCTCTCTTTATCAGTGACACTCTACTAGCAGTAAATTCTTTTTAATGCCACTAGTTTTTCTTTTCCCTTTCCCACAGATCCAGTAGGAGTCGAGCGAGCACTGGCTTCATGGTTGAGTCATCATTGTGCTAAATTATATAATAAATTCATAAATACTAACAGTGGAAAAACTAAGCAATGGAGGGAAAATCTGCTATTTATCTTCATCTCCCAGTCTCCCAGTATTTCCCCAGTGGTGTCCATTGCAAAATGTCAGACTCATAGGGAATAGGAGAGACAGCTATTCAAGGACCTGACCAAGCATCTGATGATAATAATGTTTTTATTCTATAAGGAGACAATTAAAACTGTATAAATAGACATTTTATTGTTTTCCTCTAAATGTGTTTTACTCTAAAAATGTTATCGTGCAAAATGTGTTAGCAGTTAGCAATTGTTTGTTATACTAGTGATCCAACATCTGTTAACAATGAGGTTCTGGCTGACCATCTGTATTAGTCCATTCTCATGCTGGTATAAGGAACCGCCCAAGACTGAGTAATTTACAAAGAAAGGAGGTTTAATTGACTCACAGTTCTGTGAGTCTGGGGATGCCTCAGAAAATTTAGAAGTATGGCAAACAGGGCAACAAACACATCCTTCTTCTCATGGCGGCAGGAGAGAGAATGAGAACCAAGTGAAGCAGGGAGCTGCTTATAAAACCATGGGATCAGCCAGTATGGTGGCTCATGCCTGTAATCCCAACACTTTGGGAGGCTGAGGCAGGTAGATCACGAAATCAGGAGTTTGAGACCAGCCTGACCAACATGGTGAAATAAATTTGATAATTGATAAACTCTACTAAAAATACAAAAATTAGTTGGGCGTGGTGGTGGGTGCCTGTAATCTCAGCTACTCAGGAGGCTGGCAGGGAGAACTGCTTGAACCTGGGAGGCAGAAGTTGCAGTAAGCCATGATTGCAACTACCTCAGCCTACCTCAGCCTCCCAGAGTGCTGTGATTACAGGCATGAGCCATTGCATTCCAGCCTGGGTGACAGAGCGAGACTCTGTCTCAAAAAAAAAAAAAAAAAAGAAAAACCATTAGATCTTGTGAAAACTTACTCATTATCATGAGAATAGCATGAAGGTAACTGCCCCTATGATTCAACTATCTCACCCATCTATAGTGGGTATAATGTTCCAACATTATGCAATAGGATGAATGAGATTTATTTCCCGCCCAAAGAAATTTACACATTTTAGCTTCCTAAAGTCAGGGTCTTGAATTTTTTACACTTACACACCCATAAAGCCAGTATCCTACTGTCCTTTGCTCTCTTCATTTTCTCCTCTTATAAAAAACTTTGCATAATTAGCTACAAGTTGGGAAGAAACTTATACTCAGTTCATACTAAGGTATAAAAGATTATATGGCTGAACACATTATATTCTACTATCTTTCTCAGAGGTGTTTGCATTTTTAGAGAAGGAAATCCTTTAATCTGAAGGAATGAAACTAATGGTAGAACTCCAGGTATTAGTGAAGCAATAGCAGAGATTTTTTTCCCCCGAGTGTTTATAATTTCCCAAGATTCACCATTTGTGGATAAGGCTAGGCCTGATTTTGAGTCTTGAATGCTCAGTTGACTTTTACTTTAAAAAAATTTTTTTTTAATTTTTGAGATGGAGTTTTGCTCTTGTTGTTTAGACTGGAGTGCAATGGCATGATCTCAGCTCACCTCAATCTCCATCTCCCGAGTTCAAGACATTCTCCTGCCTCAGCCTCTCAAGTAGCTGGGATTACAGGCATGTGCCACCATGACCAACTAATTTTGTATTTTTTAGTAGAGACGGGGTTTCTTCATGTTGGTCAGGCTAGTCTCGAACTCCCAACCTCAGGTGATCCACCTGCCTCAGCCTTCCAAAATGCTGGGATACCAGGCGTGAGCCACCGTGCCAGGCCTTCAGTTGACTTTTAGATATGAACCCTAGATAGAAACCAAGCTGACTACCTTTTTTTTTTTTTTATGTCCTAGGTTTATTATCCACTTATTTGTTCAGCAAATGATTGCTGAGTGCCTATAAAATGCCAGTCATGCTGTTAAGCAAAAATAAACTTTTTTTTTTCACTTACTCTGTCGTCTAGGCTGGAGTACAGTGGTGCAATCTCAGCTCACGGCAACTTCTGCTTCCTGGGTTCAAGCAATTTTTGTGTCTCAGCCTTCTGAGTTGCTGGGATTACAGGTGTAAGCCTCCATGCCCAGCTAATTTTTGTGCTTTTAGTAGAGTCTGGTTTTCACCATATTGGTGAGGCTGGTCTCAACCTCAAGTGATCCATCTGCCTTGGCCTCCCAAAGTGCTGGGATTACAAGCAGGAGCCACCATACCCAGCCAAAAACTAAACATTTCTATTGGCATTAATAACACAAAACAAAATGGCTAAGTATAAATTTGACATGAACATGTGATATACTTATTTATTGATTTATTAATTTATTCTGAGACAGAGTCTCACTCTCTCTGTTGCCCAGGCTACAGTACAGTAGCATAATCTTGGCTCACTGCAACCTCTGCTTCCTGAGTTCAAGTGATTCTCCTGCCTCAGCCTCCTGAGTACCTGGGATTATAGCTGTGTGCCACCACACTGGGCTAATTTTTTTTGTATTTTTATTAAAGACAGGGTTTCACCATGTTAGCCCAGCTGGTCTCAAACTCCTGGCCTCAAGTGATCCTCCTCCTACCTCAGCCTCCCAGAGTGCTGTGATTACAGGCATGAGCCACTGCACCTGGCCTGTGATGTATATATTTAAAGAAAACTATATAACCTGACTGGGGAACATTATAGTCTAAGGATATATTCATATTATAAATAATTTTCCTCAAATATATATGTAAGTTTAACACAATCTCAACATTTGCGATTTGACAAAATGATTCTAAATTTCACCAGTAAGAATAAACAAACATGGCCGGGTGCTGTGGCTCACGCCTATAATCCCAGCACTTTGGGAGGCCGAGGCGGGTGGATCATGAGGTCAAGAGATCGAGACCATCCTGGTCAACAAGGTTAAACCCCATCTCTACTAAAAATACAAAAAAATTAGCTGGGCGTGGTGGTGCATGCCTGTAGTCCCAGCTACTCGGGAGGCTGAGGCAGGAGAATTGCTTGAACCCAGGAGGCGGAGGTTGCGTTGAGCTGAGATCACACCATTGCACTCCAGCCTGGGTAACAAGAGCAAAAACTCCGTCTCAAAAAAAAAAAAAAAAAGCCATAAAAATTCAAAGAACAGTGGACAAAATATATGAATAGGAAAATACACAAAATAAACAAAAATAAGAAAAATAGGCTGGGCGTGGTGGTTCACGCCTATAATCCCAGATCTTTGGGAGGCTGAGGCGGGCAGATCACCTGAGGTCGGGAATTTGAGACCAGCCTGACCAAAAAGGAGAAACCTCATCTCTACTAAAAATACCAAATTAGTTGGGCATGGTGGGGCATGCCTGTAATACCAGCTACTTGGGAGGCTGAGGCAGGAGAATTGCTTGAACCCAGGAGGCAGAGGTTGCGGTGAGCTGACATTCCGCAATTGCACTCAAGCCTGGGCAACAAGAGTGAAACTCCATCTCATAAAAAAAAAGAAAGAAAAGAAAAATAAATAGATAACATGCATGGGAAGTAAGTTCAACCTCACTTGTCATCAAAAACTGTTGATTAAAACAATGAGACGTATTTTTGGCTGATGGGTGAAAATAATATTAAAATTGATAATACTCAAGGCGGATGAGAGTGCAGATAACATATGCAGAGCTATCCTATCAGCACTGTTTATAATACGAAAAGATTAGAAACATCCTAAAAGCCATTAAGTAGACAATTCATTAAACACTATACTATAGTCAAATGAGATAGTAGAGAACCATTAAAATTAATAACAATGTTGGTATAAAGAGCTGTTTGTTATGTATACTTTGATGATTTTCTGAAATAGTATTTTTTTTTTAGAATAGATAACACAGATATATATAAAGTAAAAAATTGAAGTTTCTGGCGAGACGCCGTGGCTCAAGCCCGTAATCCCAGCACTTTGGGAGGCCGAGGCAGGTGGATCACGAGGTCAAGAGATTGAGACCATCCTGATCAACGTGGTGAAACCCTGTCTCGACTAAAAATACAAAAAATTAGCTGGGCATGGTGGTACATACCTATAATCCCAGCTACTCAGGAGGCTGAGGCAGGAGAATTGCCTGAACCCAGGAGGCGGAGGTTGTGGTGAGCCGAGATTGCACCATTGCACTCCAGCCTGGGTAACAAGAGCGAAACTCCGTTGCAAAAAAAAAAAAATTGAAGTTTCCTCTACTTATCCACCCTTCCCTTCCATCTCATTGTCTGATGTTAAAAATCTGAGCCTGGGCTTGGGTACCTGTTGAGTACAAAAAAAAAAGAGAGAGAAAAAAATCTGAGCCTGGGCAACATGGCAAAACCCTGTCTCTACAAAAATTACAGACATTAGCCAGGCATGATGCCATGCACCTGTAGTCCCACCTACTCAGGAGGCTGAAGTGGGCAGATCACTTCAGCCTGGGAGGTCTAGGCTACAGTGTGTGGTGTTGGCACCACTGCACTCCAGCCTAGAAGACAGACTGAGACCCTATCTCAAAAAACAAAAAACAAAAATTGGTTTGTATCCTGTCAGATTATTTTCTTTCCTTCTTTCTTTTTCTTTTTTTAGATGAAGTTTTTCTCTTGTTGCCCAGGCTGGAGTGTAATGGCACGATCTGGGCTCATTACAACCTCTGCCTTCCTCTTCAAGCAATTCTCCTGCCTCAGCCTCCCACATAACTGGGATTACAAGCATGCGCCACCATGACCAGCTAATTTTGTGTTTTTAGTAGAGACGGGGTTTCTCCAAGTTGGTCAGCCTGGTCTCGAACTCCCAACCTCAGGTGATCTGTCCACCTGGGCCTCCCAAAATGCTGAGATTACAGGTGTGA